ATGGCCTTGCCACTGGCGAAAAAATTGGGACCTTGTGTGCACATTGTACTGTATCACCGAATGTGTCGCTTACTCACGTTTTGTTCTGACTCCTGTATTCAACTGAATATTGTACGTTCTCACTTCCTCAATTCGATAAAGGCTTTCTTCACTATAGCGTGTAATGTCACATGCTTTGTATTGCCGTACAAAATACTACTGTAAAGACATTATTTATTCGCTGGCTTTTAATTTTGCTATTTTCGCCAATAATTTAAATTCATTTGTACATTTAAATAACGAAGAACTCATTGTTTTCTTGCAAAGTTGGTGAACCGAAAAACCCAGTGAAATTGCTTAAACCATCAAAGTAGTGAAATTAAATGTCAGTCAAAATTAATGGTTTTACAGTATATCAGACAGGGACTATGTCATCACTGCTGATATGTTGACATGCATTATTTATTTGATTTGCAGGAGCATATCATTCACCCAGTGCGACAGGCTCTTCAGTATTACACCGATATGGGCAAGGCGCTGGATGACGAAAACAGGAAAAGAGCGGAAAGAGAAAAGGAAAAACAGCAAAATGGAACGAGACATAATGGCGTAATCAACGAACAGAATGGTATCAAAGAAAATGGCATTATTGATAAAAAGAAGGAACCAATCAGTCGAAGCGGCAAGCTAGGAAATGGTACGCATCGAACAACAACAAAACAAAGTCTATCATCGGGAAAAATCAAATAAATACAAACTTTGCATGTGACAAATCTGTTCAACTGACTCAGACTAAACATCTGAACTAGTATAAACCAGTTGAAACTGGTATGAACCAGTTCAAACTGGTATGAACCAGTTCAAACTGGGTGTAAATTTACAGGCTGAGTGGATATTTTGTAAATATTTATTGGTGGTATAAATGAACTGCCAGTCATCTTAAAAAAACAGAACAATTTTAATATTTTACATGTATATTGCATGTAGTTCAAAGTCAAATGCTTAATCTTGCAATATCGGCAGTAATTTGAGAGGCTCTTATCTACCTCTGATACATATGAGGGTATTTTTAATTTTTTTCCCTTCTTTCTTTTAATATTTTCAGTTCTTGTCTTAATTGTCATTAATTTTTTTTAATTCTATTCACTTTCAAACATCACATTCATGGCGTGTATATCTCCACAGTGTGACATAATACAGGACAGTTCGAAATGCATATCACATAGTTTGACGTCAAATACTGCCAGACTTTTTCTCATTTATACACTTTACAAAACTGGTTACTTTTGGCAAGCTCACGTGTTTGTTTTCATTATTATTATTATTATTCAGTTGTTGCAAAAAATCCTAGCGAATTGAAGCAAATATCACAAAGAGCAATTGCTACCCAGCGTACACAAGAACGGGTCAACAAAAACAGCATAACAGGCAGGCAATGATATTTTTTGTATTGCTTGTTATTTCAGCAATAGTTCCACGTTTTAACAGAGTTTCAAATTTTCAGACTGTGGAAGTGTACACGTGATAAATTTCTCTTACGTTGATGTCAGTAGACATTCGTGTTTACGACCCGAGTAGTATCATTCCTCGCCTACATATTGATACAAAACTCTTGTGATGATCATTTGCATGCTGCAGTCAATCTAAGGAAAAAATGTTATGGGTTTTACATATAATTATCCATATCCGGTCCATATTCTCGTCTCCTTGTACGCTTCACAATACGGTTTGTGCTTGTTAGTCAGTTCGTCTGCATCGCCATAATTTATTAATCTTTGAAGACGTAGCATATTTTGTATCATAACACACAATTACCCATATTTGGCCATCATTACACCCTTTCATGATTTTGGGGGCCCTGAACCTGAATAGCAAAAAATGGAAGTTATGAGTTAAAATTACGAATGAACTATACGGTAATAGGAAAAAAGCATATCAACTAAAACATTTTTTTTTTAACTAATGTACTAGTGTACATTTTTCAGGGTAATAACTAGGTGCTCTTCTCTATGCCCTACTTATCAGTTTAGATCAACAACCATTATCTTATACCCACCCAACTATACCATATTTTTTCCCTGAAAGTCTATTTTAACCAACTACCCAAGAAGAATAGGGATGAGTAACCGTGGCAACATCCTATGCAACGTATGTCACACACTGTGTGTTCATTTACGTATTCGGTGCAACACTTCTCTCAGCGTAGTATGTTGCGTTTAATTCGCAAACTCGTGGTATTATTATTGGCATATCATTTGTCAAAGCTCAGGGTTGCCGATGATGACCAAAATAGTTTTTCAAGGTAGCAACAGGTATAAAACAAGTTAATTAATTAGTCTGTGATTCAGATATTCTCTAAAAGTTACTACTAAGCATGTTACTATAACAACCTATACATATTCTGAAAGCTAGTCAATGTTTCCTTAAAGGATTACATGATTGCCAGTTTTGCTATTGTGCTTTTTTTTGACTTTTTAAAAACACAGTTATGCGAATGATCTGTGAATTGCACAGAACGTTTGTGAGAATTTATCCGTCTTTGTTTTCCACCTGTAACCAATTAACTACAGACATGCCACCGACAATTCACGCGACTGAAAAATATTAAAAAGTGTTTTTAATAGTCAGATTAGTC